GTCTGTAAAGAAAGTTTAGAATTTGTCATTATTGTCTATAGAAAAAGTTTAGGGTTTGTCATTATTGTTTGTAGATAAAGTTTAGAGTTTGCCATTATTGTCTGCAAAGAAAGTTTAGGGTTTGTCATTATTGTCTGTAGAGAAAGTTTATGGTTTGTCATTATTGTCTGTAGAGAAAGTTTAGGGTTTGTCATTATTGTCTGTAAAGAAAGTTTAGGGTTTACCATTATTGTCTGCAAAGAAAGTTTAGGGTTTACCATTATTGTCTGCAAAGAAAGTTTAGGGTTTGTCATTATTGTCTGTAGAGAAAGTTTATGGTTTGTCATTATTGTCTGTAGAGAAAGTTTAGGGTTTGTCATTATTGTCTGTAAAGAAAGTTTAGGGTTTGTCGTTATTGTCTGTAAAGAAAGTTTGGGGTTTGTCATTATTGTCTGTAAAGAAATATATGGTTTGTCATTACTATCTATAGAGAAAGTTTATGGTTTGTTATTATTGTCTTTAGTTAAAATTTATTGTTTATTATTATTGCCTCTGTAAGGGATTTATAAAAAATTACGAAAACTAATTCTTTACAATTAAACTTCATTCCAAAACAGCTTCTAGCAAGAACAAAAAAATCATAATTATGTTAAAATCAAACGTGAATCAGTACTTCAAGACTCACTGAGAGTGTAAAGGTTAATGGTTAAATAATAGTAACTGCTAGAAATATCTGTAACCTTCTTCAGGTTTATAGTCTGGACAAAGAAAGCCAAGTTTATTACAGCTCCATTGTTTCAGTGCACATACAAACCACTTGGTTCCTTTGCTCTACTATTCCAGTCAACATACAAACCAGTTGATGTTTAGCTGTAGTGTTCCAGTCCACATAACAATCAGTTGGTAACTTTGCTCCACTGTTCTGGTGACTAGAAGCAGGCATACACTAGAATCTCTATGAAAGTGGCAGCATCAGAAGGAATCAGTCAGCTAAGTTTTATGTACGTAAACATGTAAGTTGTGAAGAGTCAAGTTTGAGTATTTCCTTTCTTGCACAGGAAAAAAGAGTAAGAGGATAAGAACATCAAAACAAAATAATAGTGTGTTGTACAAGAGGAAACTAAATACTCAGTGGCAGAACTTTAATTAATCTGTCGAAGAAGTGAGAAGAATGTTTTCACAGGATGTATTTAACACATAAAAATATCAACAGTAAAGACTAGTTTATTTCAGTATACTCTCACCAAAGCTTCTCATTCTTACCTTCCTTCTCCATATCCAGTGGTTCGTTCATTGAAAATCAACTCGATTTGCCTTTGTTTACTCTCCAACTTTTCCAACAACCTCTGTCTCCTCTCAACTTCTCGTTGTGTACTGAATCAAAGGTCAAGGATTTGTGTTATAATAAACATTCAACAATTATAGTAACAGATCGTAAGTTAGTGAACATCAGTAATTACAAGTAAACTTGCCTAAATAATGTGATTAAAAATTCTAAATTTTCAAAATAAAAGATTAAAGAAATACAATTAGGTAGAAAAAATTGTTATTGTGTTTCCACACCTGGGTCAAATTAAATTACATTTTTCATTAACTTTTACTAAACAAAATGGACAGATTGAAGAATAAAATTATACACATATCAAATCTTTATGAACATTTTAAAATTCTGGTTTTGTCTTCTCCATTTATAGTTCACATATCCTCTAATCTTAACCCCAGTTACTGAATTTAAACAACTTCAAAAGTTTGAAACTTCATCAATATATTTTACAGACTGGTTTATCTAGACCCTACATGTTCTACACCGAACATAAACAAACAGATCTTAATTAATGTAGTTTATACAGTAGTTTATCTAGACCCAATGTGCTGTACACCGAACCCAAACTAACAGATCTCACTTAATATATTTTACAGACTGGTTTATCTAGACCCTATGTGTTCTTCACTGAGCCTAAACAAACAGATCTTAATTAATGTATTTTATAGACTGGTTTATCTAGACCCTATGTGCTGTACATTGAGCCTGAACAAACAGATCTTTATTAATGTAGTTTGTAAACTGGTTTATCTAGACTCCATGTGTTCTTCACTGAGCCTAAACAAACAGATCTTAATTAATATATTTTATAGACTAGTTTATCAAGATCCTATGTGCTGTACATCGAGCCTGAACAAACAGATCTTAATAATGTATTTTATAGACTGGTTTATCTAGATCCTATGTGTTGTACATTGAGCCTGAACAAACAGATCTTAATTAATGTATCTTATAGATGATTTATCTAGACCCTATGTAACAAGACACTGCACTTTTCTTACTATGACTCAGAAATGACTTCTTGCAGGTCTCTTTATGGATGGTCCTAAGTTGATCTATATACCTTTGTTTTCTATTGTTATTACGTAAAAGTAATATCCATATTTTGGAAATTCTGAATCCATGGTTCAAACACATCTTTATGATCTGACTATATGAATATTTTGCATTGGAAAAGGCCGTTATACTCTCCTCGAAAGCAATTAATTTTTGATGGCACCACACTACCTACGAAACTCCAAACAATATCAAATTGTAGCTCTGATACACGTTATTCCACCACAGCTTTATATTGGCTGTTTTAGTCACATGACTTGCTGATTTGCATATTCAAAATCACTTTAATATAACTACTCCATCCACTATAGTTGTGAAAGTTTTCTTGTATTTGCTCTTCCTTACAATGTGTTGTTGCATAACCAGTTGTTTCTAAATTATTAGTTCATAAACATATTTGAAAGAAAATATTCTGTTATTTTTGCTGACTTTTATGATATTTGTACAATACTAACAGTTTATATGAATAATACAATACAATGCAATGAACAAGGATACATGAAGTATGATGACGATGATTTCTTTAGATCTTCTTTCAAGGTGTTCAAGTCTCTATTAAACTGTTGTATTGAATGCCTGGCTTGTGCATTCAGCTGGTAAAGAGAAATAACAAACTTTACAGCTTCCTACTCTTTATAATACTAGTGAAGAGTGACAATAACCTAAATCTGTTAATCAAACTAAAACATAGAGCCTTTCAGTTACTTCATAATCATTTCATGTAAACAACTTAATATGAAGAAAAATTACACAACCTCTTTCTTGTTTATGCAGTTTGATACTCTCATCTTTAGAATAATGTTCTTTCAAATATATTAATAATTATTTAAAGACTATTTATTTGAAGATTTACACTAAACCACTTTAACAAATCTCTTTATTTACAATTTTTTAAATTAGTTTTGGTGCATTTTTATCTTGGGTTTTCATCATTTTTCTTTGCAATTACCACAGTTTATTTCTATATTTATAGCTATTTTAAGCCTCTTTTCATGAGTGCATTTAAAGTTAATGAAAACTAAAAAAAAGGCAAAGGCTCAAGTTTAGTTGGTACAGTTATCTGTCAGCATGATACAAAGGTCATATGTTTCTACTTTCTGTTGTACTTCTACAGCAAACTGTGATTACAATAAACTATCATCTCTCTGTTATGCAACAACAGTTGGAAAACAAATAAGCCTAATATTGAGAATTTTGGGTTATCGTTGTTTGTTTTCTCTGTTTAATTTCAACTGAGAAAAACCTGTACATCAAGTCTCATTAAATGAATAATTTCAAGTTCATATGAATAGAATCTAAAACTAAGTAAAAAAAGAGCTTGATAAAATCAAAATTATTTCTAAAAATTTATACATATAAATATAATAAACTAGTATAAAAAAGTACTTTCAAAAATCTTCACAAGTGCTCCTCAAAACTGATATCTAGTTTAGTAACGTGTCCTACATACAAGCAGAATATTACCTGAGCATATCCTGATGTATTTCGCTGTAACTGATTACGTTTTGTAATCTTCTCCATAATTTCTCGAGCTCCGTCTTCACATGCATCGCAAGCTTTTAACCTGATAGTTGAGAAGAAAATTGTTAATCATTCAGTTAAAATAAAAACTATATAAGTTTCTGTTTCAAATACATTAATTTCTTTCCATCTTAAAAATCTTTTTATTCAAAACATTTGTGCCATTAGTTTGTTAGTGAGGTTTCTATATACTTTTGGGAATTGTTTTATACCAGTAAGTGTTTTTTCATAAAAACCACTAAAAATCCAAGAATGTTGATAAACATTTTGATTACACATCCATAAATTTCTTTCATCAAAATCAGTTCCCTGTTTTATTTATGCTATTTTTCTGCCTTTCTTCTAATTGAAAACTGTTGTATCCTTTTCTTAAGAGGGTGGATTACCTTTTTTAGATATACATTTCTTTGCATAATGTGTCAATTAAGTCTTATTCTCAAGCATTCAACTTGTATTTAAACATCATCTAATATCTTTCCAACTCAGGAACTACATGCTGTACAGGAAATCTTCTAGGCTTTGCTAATACAAGTCCTATCTGTTCCTACAGCAATCTTATTTGACATCTTTGTGAAAAAGTAGCATCACATCTCACAACATGTGGCAAGTATATAAAACATATACTTACTTATTAGAATAACATCTATACAAAACATATTATGTTCTTCTCTATTTATAACATATCAAAAATCTTTATTTGTACCAAAAGATGGACATTGAGTTAGTTTTTTGTTTTGTTTTTCAAAATAAGTCTACTAGATAATATAAATCTAACCCATTGTTTGCAAACACCAAAACTGTCATGCCAAAACTTGTGTAACAAACTGACTAGTGAGTAAGGATGTACTTAAGTTTATGCTAATAGTAACATGATAATAAGTTGCGAAACTACGATTTATAAGCATAATGAAGTTATATATGTTTTTGGGGGTACATACCTAAAGACAGACCAATGTTCTTTCGAAACATGTAGTATGTTTCCCCAAAAATTAATCACTTCATTATGCTTGTAAATCGTTGTTTGCCAAATTATTACCAAACAAACTGACTAACGAAATTTTTTAATAGATACTATTGGATTGTGTGAAGTCAATTATCACTAGTGCATATCAGTCAGTTACGTAAGTTACGGTGCTCAGCAAGCAATCCTGGCGTCAAGGTTTGCGAATTGCAGTGTGTGAAAAGTACTTTAATTTTCAAAACTGTTAATAATTCGGGAATTTTATAGAATCGTAATAACAATTACATTACAAATACAATTTACAGTAACTATAGTGAAAACCCCAGAACCAGTTATGAGAAAATCTAAACTGTTTCAACTTAAAACTAAACATTAAATTCAAATTGAACAGCACCATCGTTAATAATATAAAAAAAATTAAACCCAACGAGCCCTTATCAATATTCTTCAGGATACATCAATGTAAAAACAGACACCTTTGAATAATTACATACAAAGTAACGTTTGGTACAAAATAAGAAATTATATTATTTTTACAAACGTTCAAATACTGATCTTAGTCTTACCAAGTGTCTCCTCTACTCGTCGCCATGATTGTTTATCATATGACAATTAGCGCCGTTTTGTATTACAAATTATACAAAAAGTACATAAAAATATCAAAATAGTTAGAAAACACCGAAGATGAAAAATCGAAATTATGAGAAATTTTTCTAAGGTAAGTAAGGTAACCTAATTCGTTCGATATTAATTGAAGGATATCGAAACTGACATAGGATAAGGAGCCTTATTTCGTACCTATTTCAACTTAGTATTATTAATAGGAACTTCTGAGTGAAAATAATTAGTGCTTATGACAATATGTGAAATATAGACTCGTACCAGTTATGGTGTATTTGGAGAATGTCCATAAGCTGGCTAGCTTGTTTGAATTGTACATACTGTACCGAGTGGTCATTACAGCCACTGCAGCCAGTTTCATCTGGGAACCCGTCTCGCCTCTTCCTTCCTAAGATTTGGTTGCTCTTTAAAGAATTCCAGCTTTAGAAAGGTTTCCATGAGTTTTTGAATGTTATGCGCTTGTCAGAAGGAAGAACACAACTGACATTGTTGCTGGGTTGTGACAACATAATACCGCCTCTGACGAGACATCTGATTGGCAGACACTTTTCTTCTTCTCTAGCTCCATCTCCTCCTTAGGTAGTATCATTAGGGGCAGTGTAGAGAGCTGCTGGGATTGGCTGAAGACTCTGCTACTGCAGGGTCGAGTCCACGGGAGTTGTTTGAACCCTGGATGTCTTGGAGGTACTCCCTTCTACAGTAAATGGTAAAAAAGATTCACATAATTCCACAAAATAGGCCATTGGCTAGACAGGTAGAAAGACTGACCATGGGTAGAACCTGTCATTAAATACCGAAAGTACAAGTTCAAATGCAAGGCCAACGGTTCAGTAAAGTGCTTAGGTCAAGAGGGAAGTAACACATTCTTATGACTACAAATTATAATGCCAGGAATTAATCAAATGACAATTCTACATGCTCCATGCACCCTATTTCACCAGTAAAACATGTATCCCTAGAACCTGATAACTTCCTGATACTCCATCTTCATTAGGTCTCCAATTGGTGGCCATATTGCGTCCTGTTGTTCTTGACATTTAACTAATATACACAGCTTACTCTCTGGCCTAGCCTCATTCTTCTTACTGCTGTTACGACAGCGGAAGTAATGTGACTCTGGTAACACATGATGAGTATCTAGAAGATTCACGAAGAAGCGAGTGCAATCTAGATGTGCGCTTTTATAGTACATAAGCCGGCAAATAAAGTGACGGCAAGAATAGTTGCATATAGAGAGATTGAAGATATAGACACGGATAATCGAGTCAAGCAGGCGGTAGGCACCTAAAGTATCGTTGTGAATTGTAGCGTGTGTTGAAGTTAAAGTGACTGTGGAAATTAAGTGTATTGCAAAGTTGAATTGAGAAAGAATAAACTAGTTTTATTTAAGAAAGGACTTGTATCGCAGAAGTTTCTTGGAAAGAATTTCTACAGAAAATTAACAAACGAACACAGACGTAACACTACTAATAATCACAGCTTACTCTCTGGCCTAGCCTCATTCTTCCTACTACTAATAAACACAGCTTACTCTCTGGCCTAGCCTGATTCTTCTTACTACTAATAAACACAGCTTACTCTTTTGCCTAGTCTCATTCTTCGTACTATTAATAAACACAGTTTACTCTCTAGCCTAACCTAATTCTTCGTACTGTTACGTCTCTGGTCGTTAGTTAATTTTCCGTAAAAATTCATTCCGAAGAAACTTTAGCGATACATGTCC